AGGACGGCACACCATTTACACTAGACTAAGAAATCACTTCAACAGGGCAGCCCTTTGAAAGGAACTATGCAAGTCTGTTTCTTAACGTTTTGCACTACAATTTGCAACGGCGGTGCCCGCAGGGAGTGTGGTAATGTATCTGGAGAGCTACATTTTCAAAGAAACAACTTAATTGAGTAAAAGTTTAAAAGTCTGAATGCTTTTCTCTACATATGGTGTTTGCTTGCTTATGGCACACATCTGATTGTTGCAACAGCTGATAAACTGCAGCAGCAGTTCACAAATAAAATACTCGCAGAGCATTTTTGGTTTGGAAAAGACCGTCTGCTTTGACCGAGGGGGCCGTATGTCGGCTGTTTCACCAGTCAGACTTGTGACGTTAGGCGAATGCTGCAGATAAGGAGAAGACATTCCTATTTTTTAACTTTCTTCTCAGGTAAAGCCATTCATTGAAATTTGGATGGAAAATTTCACCACCTACGGATACCAGTGTCGTAAATTGTAGCACAGTACATTAAGACAACAATTTATACAGTTCCTTTGAAGTGCCCTGTATGTAAGATGTGCACCAATATTTTTTTGGCAATTCACTATCGATTCAATATTCTAACAGCCATTCTGGCATTTCAGTTTTGTGATACTTTATACAAGATGTATTTGTCACACTTGTTTACACTACTCTTTTCTATGCAGTTCATGCATTTTTTCCTGTATTAAGCAAGTTCAGAGTCACTGATGTCACTTGCTTTTAGTATAAATTTAGCTATTCAGTGCTCGACTGCTATTGTAGACTTTGTGCATTATTTAATGTAGATGTCTGGTCTTGCTGACCTTGGTCACATGGCAATATTTTTTCTAGATTTTGCCAAAGTAATTCTTTTGCACGACTTGCATACAATCATTATACACTGTTGGCCCCTAAGCTGAAAGGGGGTTAGTCATTTTTACTGGCATTACTGTCCTGCAACTTGCATTTTTAGTACTTGGCATGTACTGCTTCTATGCCTTGCCATAACTGTATTTCAGTTTTATATAATGTGTTATTTTTTTTATAATTAACAACTCTAGTGCAATACTGTGATAACATATTCTATGTTTCTGCACTTCAAAGGAAATGTTTGAGTGATATGCAGAAGTAAGCATTCTAGTGAAATACTGTGATAATATGAGGGGGCATCAAAACGTTTCTGAACTGGCATCCCTGAACAAAAACAAAACAAGTACAGCAGTGTGACACTTCCTGACAAGCTTGCAGTCTGTGCCGAAATTTACTGTGCAGGGCGAGAGTGATCTCTAGCTGTGCTTGTTTGTTCAGAAGGGATTTTGCAACTTTCTCACCGTGAAACACAAATGAAAAACTCGAACCACGTCCATACATCATTTTCTGTGAAAATTGAGAAGAACACATTAGAAACTCAGAAACTCCGTCAGCAAGCATTCGGTGACTGATCTAGGTTACACAAATCTGTGAGTGGCATGGACATTTTAAGTGAGGCTGAGAATGGCTTGAAAACAATGAATCAAGAGGATGCCCTCCAACAAACCTAACATTTAAAAATGCAGAAAAAATCCTCGTTAATTCAGTAACACTTTCTGAGAACGATTTCGGACATTGCTGAACAACTCGACATTATTTATGGTTCAGCAATATCCGAAATGCGCTTCCGACGGTCTTCGTGAAATAACATAGATTTTTTTTCGGCATTCTGAAATGTTATGTTTCTCGGAGGGCATTCTCTTCATCGTCTCCAAGGAATTCTTGGCCTTGCCTAAAATGTCCATGCCACTCACTTATACATGTTTTTACTAAATCATGGTCACCAAATGCTTGGTGAGGAGTGTGTGGTATTTTGACATGTTCTTCCCAATTCTCACAGGAAATTTGATGTAAACGTGCTGTTTGAGCTTTTTATTTGCCTTATGCGGTCAGAAAATTGTGAAATACCTTTTAAACAAACAAGCATAGCTCGGAATTCATTTTGTCACCACACAGTGACTGGCAAGCCTGCTAGGAAGGGTCAGGTGTGTCGCACTGTGGTGCTGCATTTTCTTTTTGTTCAGTGGTGGCTGTTCAGATACTTATTGATGCCACCTCATATGTTATTTCTCTGTCTTTGCTTTTTACATTGAAATAATAAAGCTTTATTTGTTTCGAGACTTGTGTGGTCTTATCCCACTGTAGTGTAAATTAGTACACCAGTATGAAAATATACAATGTCCTATATATGTCCTAATAAAGTCCAGGAAACATCCTTTCCTGAACATCCTGAGGACGTCCTTTGGTGTTTCACTTCGGATGTCTTCTGGACATTATTCGGACATCCGCAGGACGTCCCTAATGTCCCAGTCGGGACATCCTTTGGATGTCCAGCGGATGTCTGTGTGTTGTCTGGGCGGAGAGACTCGACAAAACCATCGCCGACATGATCTCCATGTACGTCGACGTGGAGCACAAGACATGGGACGAGGTGTTGCCGTACGTCACATTTGCCTACAACACGGCCGTACAAGAGACCACCGGAGTGACACCCTTTCAACTGGTGCATGGCCGCAAGGTAACGACAATGCTGGACGCTATGTTACCCCACGAACCGGCTGTCGACGCAAGCGACGACGCCCATGTGGTTGCCCAAAGGGCAGAAGAAGTCCGTCAGCTCGCCAGACTCCGTATTAAGGCTCAACAACACGTCGACTCTGGCCGCTACAACCTTCGTCGTCAGGACGTCCACTTCCAGCCTGGAGACAGAGTGTGGGTGTGGACACCGATTCGCCGCCGCGGTCTCAGCGAGAAACTCCTGAAACGTTACTTCGGACCCTACAAAGTGCTTCGTCGACTCGGGGATCTGAACTACGAGGTGATGCCTGACGGAACACGGACTTCGTCACGCCGCCCTCCACGACCGGAAGTCGTCCACGTCGTGCGACTGAAGCCGTACTACGCTCGATAGGACTGTGGACCTTATGTGTTCCAAATGACTCTTTAGTTTATCGTTATTTTTATTTGCTTTGTTTTTGGGTTGCATCGGAACGATGCGCTTTTTGAAGGGGGGAGTAATGCCGCGCGCGCAGCTGGCCAAGTGGGCAGCGCGCGCGTAGCCTAACGGTTATCGCGCTTGCTTTCCACGCTGAAAGCCATGCAGGGTTCGATTCCTGGCCGCCGAGGCGCATTTTTGTTGACTCTGTAATGTGATGTTCTGGTGAATTCGTGAACCGTCTTGCTGGTTCGAAGTTAGAATGTTCCACGCGCCGAACCTTCTACGCAGAACGATCCAGAAAGCCACGAGGGTACATAAGGGATTCCGCAAGGCGAGCGGAGTCAGTTTTCGCCCAGCGTTCGACTCTGCTGCTACGCCGACTTCGACGCCCGCGACGCTCCGTTATTATCTTTTGTACCCTTTTATTTTTGGCACAAGTTCGCCACATTAAACATTTATTTATTTCTGTTTATTTTCTTGTTTATTGGTCACCACCCGTGACAATATTGAACCAGCCATAGCTATTACCGAAAAAGATATCACGTCCATCTTAGATGCTGTTAACAGTCCGTTCGTTATGTGTGGCAATTTTAACGCACATAATACACTGTGGGGAGGTATGCAATGTGACAAGCGCGGTAAAATAATAGAAGACATAATTGACAAAAATAATCTATGTGTGTTAACTCTTTCAGGCACAGAAGTTTTGTTGAAAATAGAAACCTGATTTTATTGTATAAATAGTCAAGTACGGTGCTATAGTCGGTTACAAGATAAGAAGGTAGTAGAAGCCCCTCCCCATAAGCGTGATGCGCCCGCTTCAGACACCGGCGACTAGAGAGAACTTCGGCGCGCACTTTATTGGATGAAATTTGGTGACGTCACGACCAATAGGAGCATGGAAACAGACGCGGTCTCCTCGGTCTCCTCAACGCCCGGAGAAACATCGTGCCTGACGAACCGTCGCCGAACGAAAGGTTAGTGGTTTCAGTTTTCCTGCGATGTGATCTCTATGTGTGTTCGTTCCACGCGTCCGAGCTGTTTCTTCGTTTCAGATCTATTTGGCGCCGCTGCCTACATTGTTTGAGCCTGCGTTCACGATTAAAACAACCATCGCAGAAAGCTGAAAGCCCGCCGAAGAACGGCTGACTTGCGAGCTAAACCTAATTCAACAAAACCATTTGATCCGACAGAATAATGTGCTTCATCTTACATTTTATGTTAACAAAGAACTGCGCTGTCTGTCTTCGTCCCTGCATGTTTTATTCTTTCGTGTTTTTCAAATCTTTACCAACCCGCGTCCAATCGAATGCCCCGATCACAACAAATAGTTGGTCGTGCTCCGATGGCCCTTATCATTAGCCGGTAAGGCAGTTACGTTTTTCGTTTCTATATTTTGACCCAAGTAACGTCATATTCTCAATCTGTGAAATTCTATCACCACCTCTAGTTTCGCATTCTGGTGCACCGTGCACTTGCAGCTTCCTGCACCCCTGCGAGGTTTCCTGCGATCGTACCCTGTATATGATTGATTTCTCGCCGCACGCGAGTGCTCTCGAAGGCGTGCTATACACTCTGTAACATAGGTTGTGTGCAGAAAAGGCACAGGCCCGAGCGCAAAAGCGCCCTTTTTGCACGAGCAGCCGTGCAAAAAGAACATTCTGCGGAGCTACGCCCTCGCACCCGTGCCTCGGCTGCACACAACTTATTAATAACCGAGCCGTTCTCGTTTTTGTTTTGCATATTACTGTGAAAGAAGTGTCATTGTTGTTTTCTTCTCAAACAAAACTCACACGCTAGACAAAAGCAAACAGATAGGAGTCTGCACATTCACACCCTTTTCTCCCTCGTGCGACAGGTTATAGCTGGTCGCGATTCAACACCGTTTCTTTTGAAGCTGATGGTCACCACAAGGCGTGAAAGAGGTGACTTGCAGCTTTGCCAAGGCAGCAGCAAGACACTACAAGCCTTCGCATTAACTGGCTAGCCAGTGCCGCTCTGTTCTGAACAGCACTGCGTGCCATGCAGAGGGTTTGTGCAAGCTCGCTGGGTGGCGACGCTAGCCACGGTAAGTGCATCCTATGCAGCTTTCTTTTAGGGATATATGTGGCTTGCAGGCCATGTCGTGCATGTGCCACCCGAGGGACAGCAGTGCCAGTGGCAAGGCTGTGCTGATGGTAATCACCACTGCACTGTGTTTTCATTCAATAACTACTGAAAAGGAACCAAGTACTTCCGAGAGATTCTCAGCTGTGCTTTGATGAACTCCAGCTCGCTTATGAACAGGTGGATGGCACAGCTTGCCTTTCCTAATAGACTTGATGTCTGTGTTAACAATGCAACGAGACTTCTTTTTAGTTTGGGGCGTTGTTTCTGCTGCGGATGACTAGCGTTGCAGTAGAGAAATATGCAAAATAGTGTAATGCTTGCATTAGTTACCTATAATAATGGCGGGAATAACTGACCTACATTTCCACCGACTGCATTTCTCAGAGGAATAGCCTGGACTAGATAGCTCGCTGCACTATGTTCTTCCTCCTTAGCCTGTACAACTCGGCGTCTTTTCCTGATTGTCTTATGTGGCTGCTTCTGTGTTTGCCTAGGCACTCGGTTGAAATAGTGAAAGCTGTCTGCATCGCACATAACGGCCATGAAAGCCAGTGTGGACGTAGCTGGGGTAGCTCCCAATATGGCTTCTCTAGCTCGACACAAGTAATGTTCCTACCACTGTCGTGTTGGCAGAAAAAAGACCTGCTTAAAAAATCCAGCGATTTTTTGGGCAACCCCACCTAACCACATTTTCGAAATCGTCATCTTTTACTCTTTCCGGTATGCTATTTACTATTAAGAAACTCAAAATAGTTATTATGAAATCGGCTAATGAAAATGACGCCAATACCAAGATTCAAATACCGTAAAATACCGGGAAAGCGCCTACTCAAACTTTGGAGATAATCGCAAAAGGATGGGGGATGGGCGCTTGTCTGGTCATCAATTTTACATATAAATGTACTGTACGTATTTGCTCAGATCTCACAAATTTGGTAATGGGCGCTTAATGTGGAATGGGCGGATGCGCGCGGTATTTTACGGTATACTTTCGCTTTTCATTGCCGTGACATCATGGCAGGCACGTAGCCAGGATTTTGTTTTGGGGGGGGGGGGCCTGTTTATGACAAAGTGCTGTATGAGGGCGAGGGGGGAGAGGAGGTCCCAGCAAAATGGAAGATTTCGGGGTGGGGCCCCCTGCCTACGTGCCTGCGTCACGGGATGGCAGGCTTGCGGTTCGAGCGGGCTGTCTAGAAATGAACTATGCCGGGCATTTGTTTCGTGTTGCACGGGAGCTGGAGCAACCTTCCAAAACATTCTTTTAACGTTATGAAACAGTTTGTGGTCAGTTGAGAACAAAGTCTACATCCCAAAAAGTGAACCCCTGCTTTCCCATGATGTCACTATTTCAATGTTGCCAGTAGAGCTTTTCACTTTGAAGAACGCAATGATGACCCTAATTGTAAATTCTGTAACTTCGCGAAAAAAAAGTTATTTTGGCCAAATATTTGGGTTACTATTTTAGCGATGTTCGTTGGTGTGTTAAGCAAGGTTTTAGGCAAATCGGGGACAATGAAGAAAATGCCGGAGTACCCCTTTAAAGGAGAACTCCGACTTTTCGAGCTACCTAATCCAAGGGCATAATCTGAATGCGGATGGCTTCCTGATTCCGAAATGCTATCTCATTCTCCCAGATTCACTCTAGTTAACCGAAACATCATTCTCCCTTGTTTTTCCCCAGTTTTCCCCGCCGCCCAAGCGTCACGTCACTTTGTGCAGCAAGGCGTGCGGCCGGCAATCGGGTACACTCGCGCCCGCCTTTCTCGCGTCTATCAGCAAAAAAATCTGGGCGTTCGTGCTGTTTAAAGTTGATAATTATATATATTTGCACAAATTATGGCCTTGGTCTATGTGCATAACTATAAGAAAGTAAAAGAAAAACGGGAGCAATTGGAATTTCATAAAACCATTTTTGCAACTCGCTACGCTCAAGCCGCGCCTCGCTAGTTTCGTGATATCACTGGTAAATCCATTCTCTTTTTATTAGAAGATGGCTGGTGAAGAAAGGTCAAAGAGTCACGCAATAAATTTTTTGTGAATTGCCAAAGCACCGCGGAAAATGCTCGGAATGTGGGTACAGATGCCCACATGCTCATATGACCTGAAGGAACGTGCCATTTGTTTTAGATTTTCTTTTGAAAAGTTACTGTTGCAGGCGTCAGCACGTGTGACTACTCTTGTGGCATGAATATGCTCCTTGGTGCTGAAGTAATTTAGCAAAAGATCTGTAAACCATTTCTGAAAAGCGCTTCTGGTAGATGCCATTTTCAGCGTTCATGCGTGTGGCACATATATTGCTTGCCTTCCAAAGCGATGAACATGTGCATGCTGGGCTGGGACCTAAGACATGTTGACTGTGATTATCGTAAACAATGAAAAGTATAGAATGGAATGAACTGTGTTCGTGTAGATCAGATGGCAGGTTACTGGTCATGACGATTGTGTTAAAATGACGATTAAAAGAACTTCGCAACCACCAAGCCAAACATCAAGGTGCAGGGGAATGCGTATAAAATACACAAATACACTGTTCATCTCTAAATAAAGAATATTTGCTTGAAGATACAATAGTGTGCGAGGTACAGAAAGACATTATAAATCTTTTAATTCAAAATAGGGGAGGGGGTAATTCTATGTAAATTTCTTTTTTAGTTAAGTTCGTTTGGCACAATTTTCATCAGCTGTAAATTTGCATGCCTCCCCTTAACAACATTAATATTTTCATAATTAAAAGAAAAAAAAAAAACTTTTCAGCTCTATATAAAATTTCTTCGCAATATAATAAATTAAAGACATTTTCATCACTTCTTCTGCAGCGAATATTGCACGCCAACCATTTGACAAACCAGGCAAGGATCTATCGTATATTAAAGGGGTACAAAAACAAAAATCGAAATATTCAAATTTCGTTCAGAAATGAGTCAAGCATGACAGAAAATAACCGTAAATGATAATCACACGTTTGTATTTTAAACGGCTGGCTATATTTTTCGTTCCAAACCGTGCACTCGAGCAAGCGCTCGAAGAGAAGCGAACGGAGAGCGCGATGCGTCATGGGATATCTGGCGCAAGCAAAAACAGAAAGAAAAGATTCCCCGCATTGGTGGCGTAGCAAGGCTGGCGTGGTTATGAGCTTTGCCTTTGGTGGCATTGTCAGCGTTGTGGCGGTGTCAATAGTGTCAGCGCGTAACAACCAAGCCGTTCGAAGTACCCGTGGAGTGACGGGCATGTGGCTGGCCCAAGGAGCACATAGCTTCCACAACACTGATAGCTTAGGACTGAACGTTGTGGGGAAAGCAACTTTTTTTCGAGTTTTGAGCGACGGGCTAATCTTCTAGGGGGACAATGGATGTGTCCGGTTGCACGAACGAGGGTCCGAGAAAGAGGGGAGTCCTTCCTTACAGTCTTCTTGGATTGTTTGGTACAATGCGCGATTTGTGAGTTGAGCTAGGAGGAAAGCTAAGAAGGAAAATGTTGAAATGCCAAAGAGCGGCGCTGCTCCGAAAGAGTCTATGTCACGACTACGTAGCAAGTTTCCCAACGTTGCTAAATTACCTCCCAAATAGGCTCCGCATGCATCCAGCAGGCGCACATTGAAAGATTGTTTATTTAGCTTGAAAATTAGTTTTCTTGTGCCTTTCAACGGAAGACTGGTGTTTTTGAGGTTAGGGTGCAAGCTAGAAAATGAGCGCTGGAATTTCGTTTTCCTACCCTTTAATGGAGCTCAACACCTGATCCATGAACCTCTGTAACAGCAGACAGGAATAGCAATATGTCAAAAGTCGTGTCTAAATTCAGACTTGAACTTCGTTTATAAGTTTCTCTTCTCGTTTTCAACATATCGGCCGCGTGAGTGGAACTCCTAGAGTCGCCCGAGCTAGATTCGACGTCCCAAACAAATATAGTGTTTCTCAAAAATTAAAAAAAAAAAAAATCACTGAACTAATTGTGAATAACAAATGTGACTTTGCAAAATGTCGACTATAGTGCTAGATTCTGTACTATTTTTCTCGGTTCTTCGCGCTCTTCTTTGGACGGATGTCGTAATGGTCACAGCCGGCTTGAGTTTGCGCTTGCCACTCTTGAGCTGCTGAAGGATACTCAACTCGCAGCATGCGGCTATAAAGTATTTCGAGCAAAAGTGAAAATGTTTCATGTGACACTAGTTCTCTCGGCACACAGCTCGCGCAAAAGCACCTTGACATGGTTGCCCTCCATTGCTGCCGGGGAACGCTTTTTTTTTCTCCCACGAAAACAAGGGCAAAAAAGAAGCTTTTTCCCGGCACTGTTTCTATAATCTATAGAGGAGCACAGATTGCAAAGGAACTTTCAACCTTGAAGCTGCGAAAAGATTACCTCGATCGCTGGCGTTCGGAAAGCCACTTGGCGGCTGCCCGAGTCGCTCGTCCGCCTGCACATCCGTGACGTACGCGGGTAGGGAAAAGTAGGGATTTTTCATTGATGCCAGTGGAGTGTCGCCTCCTGGAACCTTCCCGGCCGGCATAACTTGAAAGTTTAATAACTTCACAGAAATATATATATTTTTTTTTAATATTTTGGTTATCAGTTAAAAAAGGCTTAATGATGCGGTCTGCAAATTTCCAGCCAAATCGAAGTCTACCAAAAAATCGACTTTAAAACATAGAATGCACATAGTACACAATGGAGAAATTGCTTGCCAATCATTCTCTTAGGAGTGTATGTCGAGCCCCTTCGAGGCAGTTTGCTGCCGCAGCGTGCACTGTAATCCCCCCGAGAAGAGAAAACAAAATGTATGACCAGTAGGATTTCTTTGTTCCAAGGCTTCTTGAGGCAGGAAAGGCTAGTGAACCAGTATTGTTGCTTCTTACTGCCTGGTACGAGACTCAAATCCGACATGCAGGGAAGTCGAAAGGCCTCTTGAAGTGCCCTCTTTCTGCTTGCTTGTGCCTTGAGTTTTAGCTGTGTCTACAATTTACGCTCGCCTGCATGCCTACTCTTTTGGTCTCTTGGTTTTAAAAGCGCACAAAAGACGAGGACAGAGTAAGAAAACAAACGACGGACGAGCGCTTTTGTTTGTGTTTGTGTTTCTTACTCTGTCCTCGTCTCTTGTGCGCTTTTAAAACCAAGATGAATAACTACCAACTAGCCCAACTTTCCACCCTACTGCAGTTCTTTTGGTCACTTTTTTGTTCACTGTGTTACTGAAGTTTTCTGTCCTTGCTATCCCAGAATTGCATTGTGGATGCACAGAAATACAAGGTGCTCGACGCCTGCGGCTCTTTAATATTGCTTTTCCCGGTACCACGGCATGAAGGAGGTGGCCTCTCTCCCTTCCAAGCAGCTGCGATATACTACAAGCACTGGGTTACAACTGCAGCTAGCCCATGGGTACCATTCTGCATCCTGCACTATATGTAGTTCCGAGAGCCATATGAAAAGGCAGGTGTGACCTTTTTAGGCACTGTCACTTTGTTTTGTGCATTTTCTGCCGCTTTTTCGGGGCAACTTCTTTTTAAGATTCAAATATTAGAAAACGGACTCAAGTGAGAGAGGGGGTTTTCTGAGAAGACTGGCTTCTTTGCTAAACCGTTGGGACTGGTATTATATCTATAGAGTTCATGTACACCTTACATTATGTACTTTTTCTTTAGTTTTATTTTACTCGGTACTTATACTTCGATGTTACACAACAGCCACTAAAAATGAGGAAAAAAAAAAAAAAAAAAATGTTGACTTGTCGGTTTTCTTATTTTGTTTTTTTGCAATATGTTGGACGAGTCAATGATGTGGTCGGTCATTCATGTTATTTTTCCTACACGCACGTCCAGCCTATGTTTACATAAAGCCCCAATTGCCCCTTAGCAATAGAAATAATCTGTGCGACAGACTAGGCGGCAGCATCGTGGACGGAAACTGGCCTGATTGTATCTGCCATGTTTAGAAACTACATTTGATGTCAGGTTATGAATTCAGTGGCAAATTCCCCCCAAAAGAATCTACATCACTCTGCCAGCCAATCGCTGCCGTCAGTTGTCGTGACGTCACGTCCAGCAAAGAAACTGCAAACTAGTATTTTTTTTTTAATGGCAGGCCTCTGCTGTTGATGCGACATAGCACGTCAACACTCAAGCAATTCTTCCACTCTTGACCTCTCCGGTTTCACCTTATGAAGTCGTGACGGTGTCTGCTTTTGTTTGCAATATTTCCCATGTGTCGAGGTGAGAAGGCAGCGGTTGTATCGCCAAGGAAGTAGCAATCAATCTGTGCATTTGCTCCAGCGGCACAGTGTTACAAACAGGACTCTTTCACCAAGGGCAAAGTCTAACGACTCGCCCTACAGTTGCCAGCATCGTGCAGCCGTGAATGCGTAACTTGTCCGAACGCTTTTATGCTTTCGTCTGTGTACAGTGACAAAATGACTCGCTGAATGCGAAATGCCGTACAGCAAACTACAGTAGAGTCTCATTAATTCAAACTCCAGGAAGTCACAGATTTTAGTTTGAATTATCAGAAATTCATCTAAATATGATACTAGATGGCATTATGATTTGTTACATGGATAGCTACTCATACAAAGCAGATTTTTGCCAGTTTCCTCTACATAGGCCTAATTATAAGCAAGTACAGGCATAACACATTAGTGAAAGAGCCGTGACATTAAGTTTATTCATCCGGCAAAAAATTTGTCGATTGTGGACTGTTTAGTCAGCACATACGATCTCAAAATAAAATTTTCAATACCAGCCAACGCAAGTAGCTCTTTACGGGACTCTTCCTTTGCAGACAGAAACTTCCGGAGCTGAGCGATGTGCTCAAAGCTATGGCTGTGACAGTTGGTAGCAAGTCATCCCTTTCTTCATTGTCATCTTCACTCTCACTGCTGCACTTTGCTGGCGTTACTTCCTGTACTATGTCCTCTAATGAGTCATCACGACAAACACATACATCATCGTCAAGACTAGCATATTCCGCCAGCTTGGCGTTCACATTATGTGCTTCAAGGCCAGAAAGCATGATGCCAGTGAGCTGGTCCTCATCCTCGATGTCGTCTTGGTCATCATTGCTAGTCTTGAAGCACATAATGTGAACGCTGTTTTCTGCTAATGTGTGCCCGCTTGAGCCCCGTTGAGTGTGCTTCTTTATGAGCACCGGTGCACTGAAAGCACGCTCTGCAGGTATTGCTTCTCTGTGGTGCACCGGTGCTCGGAAAGAAGCGCATTCAACGGGGCCGCGAGAACAAAAAAAGATATGAATTAAGCGTAAACGCCATTCGGATTAAGCGGCTTATAAATACATTAAAAACATAGCGGGACAACCAAAGTTTTCAAATCTGTTTGAATTATCCGGAAGTACAAAATATCCAAGCTTCAATTATTGTGAGCCTATTGTATCAATCACTTTCTGTAGCAACTTTGTGCTTAAAATCGCAATAAAGTGATTTTTAGGCAGAATTCATTTTTTCGGACTGCTCGATTATTCTGAGTTTTGCGCTATCCCCATCGAGTCCGAAATATTGGTCGGTGACTATCAAACTTAAGCACAATGGTTACACACCACAGGTCCCGAGGACCATGACATCAATGAGCTGGCTTTCACCTTGTTCAAGGCAGCAGCGGAACACTATGGGCGGGACCCTGGGTCGACGCACCAGCCGGCTCATGGCTGCTGTCCTGTACCCTGCACGGCACTACGTGTGGCTTAACTGGCCAAGCAGAGGGTCATCGCGTGACTTTTATGAGGCGTCGCTAGCCATTGTAAGTATATTTTTTGACACTCATGTCTGGTGATGTACTTTGGTGCTGTACAACGGAATACATTTGGTGGCAGTTCAGTCTTGCCAATTAGGCCATTTTGAAACGGAACACATTTAGTGGTGGCTCGGTTTAGGTTTCCTGGCTTGGCAATCTTGCAGCAGTGTCTAGACTCAACACAAACCTTTTTGTACTTCATTGTCAGGGATAGTGTAATTTCTGCAATACTGTCGAAGCAACTTCTGCACGCGAACAAGATGCAAGACGAAGCCACATGCTTGTGCCCAGTGCTTGTGCCCAGTGTACTTCACGAGTTCATTTCGGCGTTGCCACTCCACGCGTCCATGCACTCGCCGCACCTTGAGAGTCAAGTGTGCACCACAATGCACTCCCGTCATGCAGCACTCAGGAGAGGAACGAGAGCAGACAACTGGGGTTTTTCCGCCATAAGAGACGAGAGAACCTAAAAAAAAAGAAAGCACGTTCCACGGGCAACAAAATCGGACGCGAGCTGTGCTATTCATTCTGTGAAGCAAGCAATCGACAACCTGTGCTTCATTTGCAAGTTTTTAGTCGTTTTGTTGCCAGACAGACGTTGAATTACATCAGCGGATAAGGATAGGTTCAAAACAAACGTCAGCTACCGCGAGATCTCTGTCGCAATCCGTGCGGGGGTGAAAAGTTGAGACGTTAGTTGACAAACCTCGCCCGCCCCCCCTGTCCATCACCTGACCCCATTCTGCGAATGTGGCTATAAGCAAGGGAGCGTGATCATGTGGCAAAAGATTCTCAAGCGCGACTGGCCCATGGAGCACATAGTTTCCACAGCACTGTCAGTTTAGGGGTCCACGGAGGATATTTGTGCGTAGTACTGTAGAAGCCACAGGCCGGAGTGGGGGGGGATTGGCAAATTTCGTCCGAATGTTTAGCGAAGAGCATCAAGGAGCTAATTTTCCAAGGGAAGAATGGTGATGTGCGGGTACAAAAATAAGGGTCCAAGCACTGTGAGCAAGAGGGGAGTTCTTTCTTTTCCTCATCTTGAACTGCTAGCCGTATACTACCTTTAGGTCTACCCACTAGTCATTCCAACCAGAGCTCTGTGTTCTGACGTCCACACACATTCTCGTCTCCCCCTCTCCCTCAGTGTTTTGGTGCATACTCAAATGCTCTGCATCATTAGCAGATTTTTTTTTTTTTTTTAAGGAGGGGGAGTTTTTTTTTTTTTTTTTCAGGTTAACTTTTTTTTAATGAAAAATCAACATACCCCAGCTTTTCTTAGGAAAAAATTATTAGTTTTTGGTGACATAACAAATATTAGGTAAACAAAACACATCTGGGCTGCATTTTGCCCGTGAAATAAGTATCTCCTTGCAAACTCCCCCTTCTCCCCTCTCCACCCCACCCAGCCTGACCTATAAATTCGCCCCTGCTCTTCATTGCCCTGCATGTTTAGGTCAGATATTGTTCCTGTTGACCTGATGGACTCCTTTGTTCTCTTCATTCATCATAGGTTTCAAACCGTCCTGAATCGTGGACCAAGCCTTGCAAGACTTCACTCTTATGCCCTCTCCTTTTTGGTGGATCGGGACTTGCCATCTTCCCCTCTCGTGGCTCCCTGTCGTAATTAAATAAATTGTATTTTTTTCTCATGACAGTGCACACCTACTGGTACACGTCACAAAAAGAGTGTGGTAAATCCATGCCACAGATTACTGTGAAACATGCGAGAAGGTAATTGTTGTGTTCCGAGGCGGGAGGAAGGTCAAAGCCCGGAGCCGCAAACCAATACCCGCGAGTCCTTTATCGAACCTTAAGCGTATCTGCCAGTCACGCGCATCTCGGACCCTCGCACGTGGCCCAGCCAGCTCACCGTCTCGCATGCCGCCAGTCTTCGTCTTCTTTATACAACGCCTCCCCCTTTCAGCCTCATCGTCCATAGCGTTCCGGTGGTCGTGAAATTCTCCCACTTCGTGTTATGGTTGCTTGAGGATCGTTCTCCCAGTAACCGGCCGGCTGGCTGTCGCTGTCGGGAATCGCGGGCTGGAGATGGTGCCGTGTGCGTCGTATCGTTCCTTGGTCGGTTTCTACAAGGTAAGACCAAGGTGGTCCGGCCGCTCCCGCCTGAATCCACATTGCTGCGTGTGGGTGTAGCTCCCTGCCATTTCTTGTGCGGTGGCGCCTATTATAGTTAGACGCCTCTCTTGTCTTCCGTTTCCTGTATCATTGCCGATACCTCCTGGAGTGTTGCCAGAGAGGTACTGGGCGCCGTTGGAAGAGTGGAGCGTAACTTGTGCCCCATCAAAAGTTCGGCAGGGGAAAACCCTTTGGGCCCAGGGATGGTTCGGTAGGCCAGAAGAGCTTGTGCTGAATTCGAGGTTTTCTTCGCAGTCTGCACCGCTCTCTCTGCTTCTCCGTTACTCTGGGGATAATACGGGCTTGAAGTAACCAGTTCGACTCCCCACTCTCTGGCGAATCACCGGAACTTGGTTGAGCCAAACTGGGGACCGTTGTCGGAGCGGATGACTTCTGGGCAACTGTGTCTAGCGAAGTTCTGGCTGAAAACCTTGATAATGTCCTCTGTGGTTGTTCGAGGTATTTCTTCAAGTTTGAAGAACTTCGAGTAGTAGTCGACGATGACTATATACTTCTTCCCCCTGAACTAGAAAAGTTCCGTTCCAATTTCCTGCCAGGGACGATCGGGTAGTGGAGTCTGAAGAAGGGGTTCTGTATGTGGTCGTCTATATTGCTGACAGGTAGGACGGCGACTCACATAGTCATGTATTTTCGTGCTTAAGCCAGGTCACCAGACGGAGTCTCTGGCTCTTGCCCGGCATCGGACAACACCCTGATGGCCGCTGTGCAATCGCTCCAAGACTTCTCCTTGCAGACTAGGCGGGATCACCAGCCGGTCGTTACGCATTGGTAATCCCTGCACAACCGAAAGGTCTGCGGCGAGACTCGCGAATTTGCTTAAGTTCGGAGGAAGTTTGTTCCTTGCCGGCCATTGTTTTTCGCTGTATTCCATAACCCTTGATGTGGTTGGGTCTTTGGAAAGTTCTGCCTTCAGTCTGGACAAAAATGAGGTAGAGGGTGGAAGGAGCTCCAATGTTAGCATTTCATACTCGTGAACCAACGTTTCACTGATCTCCACGGTGTGCCTTGAGTCTGTAGACTGGCGTGTGGTCGGTAGGGGTTTCCTGGAGAAGACATCCGTGGTGAACATCTCTTTGCCCGGTACGTGGGATATTGCAAAGTCATACTCAAAGATGCGCATCCTCAGACGCTGTAGCCTTGGTGTCATTTCGTCAAGACGTTTCGTTGTGAACAGTGGCACCAGAGGCTTGTGGTCTGTTTCAATGTAAAATCTCTTTCCTACCAAGTAGGTCCGGAAATGTTCACAGGCCCATACGATGGCCAAAGCCTCCTTTTCAACTTGGGCGTATCTCTGCTCCATTTGTGTCGTGGCTCTCGATGCGTATACCACTGGGCGTCTTTTGCCGTTTTCCTCTTGTAGCAGAACCGCCCCCGGTGCAAACGAAGACGCATCTGCCGACAACGTAAGTTGTGCATCCGGTTTATAGAGTGTGAGCACAGGAGTCTTGCATAGGAGATCTTTGATGTTAAGGAATGCTTCTTCCTGAGGCTCGCTCCAGAGCCAGCTAGCATCCTCGTGTAGCAGATCTCGAAGTAGCTTAGTTTTCTCGGCTATGTCGGGAAGAAATTTCCCAAGGCGGTTGACCATCCCCAAGAATGATCGCAGGTCTGCCAAGCTTCCAGGTGCCGACATCTGGACGATCGCTTCCATTTTCTTGGGGTCTGCCGCAATGCCCCTGCTGTCCAGAAGGTGGCCCAGAAACCTGATGCTCTTTCTGGAGAACTCACACTTTGAGGTGTTCAGGGTCACTCCAGAGTCGTGGAGGCGGCGGAGTACCAACTCAAGATTTATGTTGTGTTCCCTTTTGTCACGACTGAAAACTAAGATGTCATATGACATACTTGTCCTGGGATTCCCTCTAGGATCCTTAGCATCTCCCACTGAAAGGCTTCGGGCGCTGTCGCAATGCTAAATGGGAGTCTTTTGAATTGAAACTGTCCCACTGGTGTGATAAAAGTCTTCAGTTCCTTTGACTCTGGGGCTAGTGGTGCTTGCCAGTAGTCGGCATTCGCATCTAGTTTGCTGAATACCGTCGCCCCGGCGAGTCTTGCCAAGCTCTCCTCTACGGTTGGCGTGATAATCCGCTACGGCACCAGTTGCGGGTTTAGCTGTGTATAGTCCACGCAGATACGAAGAGAACTGTCTTGCTTTTTAGCCACCACCATGGGTGCGCACCATGCTGTGGCATGGTCGACTCTTTCAATAACGTCCATGTCTTGCATCCGTTGCAATTCCTGTTGAGTGCTGGGTAGCAGAGTTAGAGGTACCCGTCTCGGGTATGTGATTGCGAATGGTCTCGCATCAGGGTGAAGCGCGATCTTGTACTTGGAAAAGCAAGGGGTACTTTTTACGGAGGTGGTCATACTCCGGCTTGCTTTCAGCTTTGACTTCGTTCAAGCTAGGTAGCACCTGAAGGGCTTCAATTACAGGCCGCCCCAGCAGTGGCTGTTTTAGCTGGTCGGACACATAGATGATTTCTCTAGTAGTGCGCCCATTCCAGGTTACCGTCGCCGTGAACTTGCCTAGCGTGTTCAGCAGAGTGTGGCCTGCTCCATAAAGATCCGTCCCTGTTGTCTGCAAAGTTGCAAATGTTGTCGCGTCGCACATATTGGGAGGGATAGCTGTGACGTCCGCCCCCGTGTCCACCTTGAATGTGATGTCTTGGTTGTTTACTTTGGCTGTAATGTACCAGGCTTCCCCTGGTACTTTGCCCATTGCTTGAGTGTACCAACTCGCTGAGGAAGACTTCATTCAGTCCTTGTCTGTGCTCTTGTATACTGAAATTTTCTTGAGTGTGTTTGGAAAAACAGACGCTCTCAAAGTGGCCTAGCTTTTTGCAGGCGTTGCACTTCTTGTCTTTTGCGGCACATCGAGACTTGGCGTGTTTCCGTGAACTGCCACACCATCGGCACGTCCATGGCGAATTATTAGACAGGGCTTGGGGAGGCAACATGCTCGGACGTCGAAAGTCCTTGTTCTCGCTTTTTGTTTTCGGCTGTCTTCCGAGTTCTTCAAGAACGTCGCCGTCTGTCCTTGTGCTGCGTAGCTCAGTCTGTTGGCGCTTTACCGTCTGATGATCAAGCTGCCGTAGTCGCGCGCTGCAGTGTAAGCTTAGCATCGAGCTGGAGTTTCTCACTTAGTTTCCTGTCCAGGAGTCCGACGACAATGCGGTCCTATATGAGCTCGTCCCGTAAAGGGCCGTAGTCACAGGTATCCGCCAATCTGTGCAATGCCGTGATAAAGACCTCCACAGGCTCGTCCCGCTCTTGCTTTCTAGAATTGAACTTTGCTCTCTCAAAGATGACGTCCACCCGCGGAATGAAGTGCGTGTCGAACTTAGCTTTGACTATGTCGTAATCGTTCAGCTCCTCTTGTGTCATCTCGAGCGAAGAAAGGACATCCTCTGCCCATCGCTTAGATGAAGGTTTTCACCTGAGTCGAAGCGTCGCAGATATGATCCGGTAGCGGTCCCACTGAATGATCCATCCCTTCCAGTCGCTCGAATTCCTGAAATCCAGCTTCTCCGGTAGCTCGACCGCAAAGGGGTTGAAGAAGGAAGGTCCTCCGCTGGCCTGGGAGATTGAAGCCCTCGAACCGTCTGCGTTGCTAGTCGTGGCATAGATCTAGCAGCGGCCCGAATCTTCTTTGCTGGCCGTTCGGTCGAACTGCAGAGTTTGGTGCAGCTTCTCAGGTCCCGAGAAACGATGGAGGATTGTTCAGTATCCCACTGCTGCCACCATGTCGTGTTTTGAGGCGAGAGAAAGGTCAAAGCCCGGGGCCGCAAACCAATACCCGTGAGTCCCTTATCGAACCTTAAGCGTATCTGCCAGTCATGCGCATCTCGGACCCTGGCGCGTGGCCCAGCCAGCTGACCGTCTCACATGCCGCCAGACTTTGTCTTCTTTATACGACAGTAATTATACAAAAGATGAAGCTCCGAAAAGTTTGATGAAAAGAAGATAGCTATCCCCGTTTAATTTTTCTTGCCACCTTAGCATGCTACGTCCGAAGTATTTCAGCTTATCATGGCATTGACTTTTGACCATTCACACTTTCAAGGAAAGGCTATCAGCAAGAAGGGTTCCCAGGTCTGTTCTGTTTGCATTTAATTACTGAGAAAACGTTTATGCGGAGTGCAGGTTCTGCTTTTTTTTTGCAGGGGTTGTAGTGACGTCGAAATGCCAAGCTCTGATTGAAGGATGGTGGGTACACAATGCTAGCTGCCTTCAGGTCTACCCACTATCCTTCAATCAGAGCTCTGCATTCTGACATCACCACAACCCCTGCAAAAGAAACGGACGAACTTGCACTCCACATAGACATTGCCAAGTGTATTTCAACACGTCTAAATGCCTAAACTTTAGACTATTTTGTCACCATGATTTTAATGAAGTTTTGCTA